CCTCCACTGAGACCAAAAATCGTCCTCGATTTGATCAATTCCCTTTGTTGTGTTGATCTTCCTGTTCTGAGTAGGGGCTATCCGATCCAGATGTACGATCTTCATTTTGATCCAAGGCTTACCTCGTTCTCGTACCCGATATACCACGTCGTTGATCCAGGTGGTGACTTGCTTACCTCGTTCTTGAACTCGATATACCACGTCGTTGATCCAGGTGGTGACTTGGCACGGCCCTTCCAAATCTTTGCACTTATCTTCTTCAGGTATTCGACTCATAATTAGTAGAATGTCATCTATTTGTGCGCTCCGTTCATCAGTGTACTCATCCTTCAATTTCGAGTCGCTTTTTGGTTTTTCAATTTTATCTTGTAGTTCATTCGGTCTATCTCTACTTTTATTTTCAAACTTTTTTAACGATATGATGAAATTACCTTGGGACTGTTTCTCTTTTTCTTCCATCTTTACTTGGCACTCTTTGAGCATCTGCTTCACTCTTATGTCTTTTTCATCTTCCTGTTCTTTCATCTTATCTGTATGCTCCTGTTTCGGTTTTTCAATTTCTTTATGTTCCTGTTGATGATATTGACCTTCACTTTTGAGAATATTTTTGTCTGTTTTTGTCGCAGATACCACGAGCATCACAGTTAACACGTGCGTCGTAGTTGTCACTTGCACCAGTCGACGTCGACATCAGTCGTAGGTGAATATGCTGGGAGAATAATTTCCGATTTTTTGGTCACCTCATGCGGAAGGTAAGAATAGAAAATCTAACTACTGGAAAGATTGCATGGAAAAGACATCGCGGTCAATAACGAATAACACTCGTGAAGTCCTTGTGTCACTTGTTGAATATCACCACATTTCAACTACTACAAAGTGTTTAAGATCGAGTTTTGTGGAAGTCGATGAAAAGAAAGACACGAGAAAAGAAGAATATATATATATTAACTTTAAATGGTTTTATTCTGTCTTTGCTTATATTAATATTGTTAATTTAAATTTGTTTCCCAAAAATTTTAATTGTAGTCCTTTATTTGAATGTTTTGACACAGATAAAGCATTTTCAATTTTTACTGATGAGTTTAAAAGTGCTACCGTAAATTGTTGTTACTCTACCAAGGTATCCTCAAAAAGGAAAAAACAACCTTGGATTACGAAAGGCTTAATGATATCATCCAAAACTAAGAATGATTTGTATAAAAAGTTTTTAAAATCCAAGTTAATGTCTGATCGTTTAAAGTATATTAAATTTAACAATTTATTTGTAAAGCTTTGTAAGATCTCTGAAAACATGCATTATCACCATTTGTTTATTAATGAAAAGAAAAATGGTAAAAAAAAAACAACATGGAATATTCTTAGACGCAAGCCATCATATTTTGCAATTAAGGTGAACAATGATGATTTGTGTATTTGTAATTGTTTCAATAAAAATTTTTTTCTTCTAATGTTCCATTTGCATGTGACAATAATAGCTCTTCATTTAAAAATTTTAAAAAATATTTAATGTTAATATGTTAAACTCATTCGTTCTTTTTGATAGTTTTGAATACATTATTGATGTGATTAATAATCTCAATAACTCTTTTTCTTCTGGTTATGACTTAATCTCAAAATTTCTCTTAAAATCTGCTTTGTCTAATATTATCTTACCTCTTTATCATTTAATTAATTGTTCTTCCAAAACGGTTATTTTCCTAAATGTTTTAAAAACTTCAAAAGTTATACCTTTGTTTAAATCTGGTGAACCTCATGATCTTAATAACCATCGTCCAATTTCTATTGTCTCTAGTCTATCTAAACATATCGAACAAATTGTTTTCTTAAGACTTACTAATTTTTAAAATTCTAATAATTTGATTTCAAATCAGTACGGTTTTCGCTCAAAACTCTGTACTGAATTTGCTGTAGCTGACATAATTAATTTTGTTTCTAACGCTCTTGAATCTGAAGCATTTTCTATTGGAGTCTTTTTTGACTTCTCTAAGGCATTTGAATCTCTTGACCACTCATTTTTATTGTACAAATTATCTCAATATGATGTTAGGGGTATTGCTCTAAATTGTTTTATTTTTTATTTAAACGAAAGGTTTCAGTATGTTTATATCGATGGTTCTAAATCTCCTCCTTCTATTACTTCTGGTGTTCCCCAAGGCTCCATCCTTGGCCCATTACTTTTTAACATATTTATTAATGATTTTGTAAGCTCCTCTAATATCTTAAAATTTATACTATTTGCTGATGATTCTTTTCTGTTATTATCTAATTCTAATATTAATCTACTGGTCACAACTTTTAATAAAGAATTATTTAGTGTATACAACTAGATTCATGCAAATAATTTAAGAATCAACATTGCTGAAACTTATTTTATTTGGACCCAAAATTTGTACAAATATCGTAAATGTTCAACTATCATTAAATAACATTTCCATTAATAGGGTTCAATCTACTAAATTTTTAGGCATCATTCTTACTAGCAATTTGTCATGGTCTGTTCATGTTCAATTTGATTCTCAAAAAATTACAAAAAATTTAGGCTTAATATACCGACTCAGATCTAAGTTTCCTTAACATATTTTATCTACATTGTATAATTTGATTGTTTTGCCCTATTTCACTTATTGTATATCTATCTGGGGCTTTAATACAAAATCTAATAATCGTATTTTAACTCTTTGTCAATGTCAAAATTATTTCATCCGAATATTGTATGGTTTAGCTAAGTTTGATCATGTTTATCTATGAGAAATCAGCGAGCAAACGGTAGATCGAACAACTTGACGATTGTTAAATGAGCACACAAAAAAGTGTAAACGCTAGTATATATTTTTCATATTTAATAACCCACAAACGCAGAAAAAAATACACACGTGCCCACACACTGTGCATGCGTTCTTGTTCAAAGTCATTGATGATAATACATTTAATCTTTTTTATAATTTCAACTATTCTTGTATGTATTAACTTTTATATAAGTATATTACAATCTACTGGGATCTTGGGAAGGATAAGGAGCTCTTGGATGGTCGAACAACATTGGTGGAGGAGGAAGCATCGGGGGTGGAATCGACAGATCTACAAGGGTTATTTTATCATGAGAAATAAAAATCTTATATCAAAAATCAATCTGTATAAATACCTGGATTGAGCGGCAAATTGGGTTGCAATGGCATTCCAGGTGGAGGAGGTGGAGGATTTCTCATGATCATCATCGGTGGATATGCGGGAGGTGCATTCAAATTGAAAAAATCTGATGGACCACGTTCTTGAAAAAAAATATTCAATCTGAAATAATATTTTAGTAACCGAACATAATATTTTAACATTTATATTTATTCGAGTACAAAAGTCAGTTTCCAATTTTGTGTTTCCCAATTGAACGGTTCAACGGTTGAATGTAAGAAAACGACGCTCGAAAATATGAAACAACATATAAAGTATTAGTCCCTAATCAAAATAAATATTGGCTCAGTTTTAATTTAATGGTTGAATTACTTGGTTATTTCAAAATAAAAACCTACATGTTAAATAGTTAGTTAATTAGGGTGTTAAATAAAAATTTTTCCGACCAGAACTCCCTGATCAAAAAATTGCCCACTTTGGCTTCCAATCCATGATTGATTGTTTTCAAACTTTAGCATACAATTTCAAAAATCGGATTATGGTAAAATGAAAGCAACCTTAAAAAATCATTCGTTATTTTGGTTATTTCAGGACCAAAAATAAACATGTTACGTGGTGCCGGGTCAAAATTTTTCCGAACTCGACACTTTGAATAAAAATTTCCCCACTCTAACTCATAATTGATTTTTTCCAACATTAGTAATTCAATTAAAAAAATCAGATTATGATAAAATAAAAGTTAAATCGTTTTGTAAATCGATTTCTCAATGTATAATTATTCTATATTCATTCTGATTATGTTTTAAAAAATCCTAAATTATATAGTTTTTTGCATTTGCGTGCAATGTCAATCATTTACGGTGGCTGTATTAATATAAGTTTCTGACTGCATTTCAATATAGTAACTAACCGAATAGCACTAAAAAAAGTTGATGTGTTGGTAATACGAAAATCTACAGACTGTTAAGTCGTTGAAGTGATCGAATGGTTCAGTTGAATCCAAGCAATTTCATAATTACAAAGATAATGAAATAGTTTACAAAAACGTTGAACACACCAGGAATATGAGAAAAATTTGAATGCAATGTTAAGTGAAAAACGTTACAAGCGTAAATCAACGATATAATAAAAATGACCAAAAAAAACAGCATGGGTTACAACATAAGAAATATAAGCTTCATAACATAACTATACCACGCCATTTCACCTGTTTTGTTTAGAAATTTAATAGTGATTTTTGTTAAAACATTTTGCCAACAGCTTAAAACTTTTTGGAAATAATTTTTTTAATAATGCATTTCTAAGATTCAAACTAAATATCATAAAATGTCTTTATTTGACTTCTGAAAAACTTACATACCACTACTACAAATATATATCAATCTATATACGAATTTATGATCTCTATCTTGAAGCTTTAATTAAAATGTAGAACAGACTTTTTAAAAACGTTTGAAAAAAGTTTGAAAATTCGGTGGCAGCATTCCCGCGGAACAACACTGTTGCGCATAACTTTTCAAATATGAAATTACTAAACAGCGCGTTCGATAAAACAAGAATCATCGTGTAAGTGATGACACGTTGTTGCACATTATTATATTTTATAAAGAATGAGCACAAAAAGTAAATTTTTACAGCATATCAATGCCTCTATTTCTGTTTAATATTAGAAAAGTTGAAACAAAATCAATAACTGGAATTAGCGCTTTCAAAACTTTGCAGAATATCCGTGACTTTTCAACATTTACACAGTCAAAATTTTATAAAATTTATTTAAAAAATAATGAAAGAACAGAACACAAACCGGAGACATTTCCAGCATCAAAACCTTTTAATTTTTCTTTGTCGTCAACACTTGAGCTTTTCTTATCATTGTCTTCATTTTCGTCAGCATCAGGAAACTCATTGTAACGTCTCAACAGTTTCTCAGCAACTGGATCATTTATTCCAAAAAATCTATCTTTGATGTTTTGATCAGCCAAAGGATCGTCAGGATCAGTCGGTTTTTCATGCCTTGCATTTTAAAAATTGAAACAAATAGATCAGTAACATTACAAATGACGAAAGCAAATAAAGACCTACCTATAAGGACACTCCTCTCCTCTTTTGCATTCTCCCTTAACCCAGAAAGAACAAATGTGAGGTCTATTCCTTTTGTAATAAGGTGTTGTTCTAGCCAATTTCATCAGCATTTCACTTTTCGCACGAGCCTTTCCCAATGCTCCAGCAGGGGTGGTCCCATCAGTGTTTGCCAGCTATAATAAACAACAAGTTACAACTTAATACTAAAACTGCCAAGTATTCTTTAAGCAAAAACACCACGTAGAATTGTATACAATATAACATTATATTAATGATCGCATGTATATAAATAAATGAAAAATGTAAAAAAACAGAATCGAATATACTCACCTCTCTTTCCATTTTTTGTGTATAATACTCTCGACCAACATCTGACGTGGGAATTTCCCCTCTATCAATGTTCAAGGCAGCATCTCTGACTTGTACTGGCAACCCTTTATAAAAATTATTTTCAATGCAGATGATTGCTAAGGTAAAACCAAGAGAAAGCAAAATCATTGTTCTTTTAAAGGCTTGTCTCAGTTCATTTTATTTGTTATTAAACACTCTATATACCTCCTTTAAACCATCATACTATTAAAAGCGGACACAAATAATTTACAACTAAAATGCATCAAGGAGGATGAGCATAATCAACTTGTCAGCAGTTTTGTGGAAGGTCAGATTTTTGTTCATCAATCAAATACTTCCTAAACTCTAAATGGTAAACTTTTAACTAAAAATTTATCATTAAGTAAAACTCTTTAAGATTAAAAAACGAAATTTAAAAATTTTAAACAATAAGATTGTGTAAAAGTGCCTTGGTTTAAACAGAATAAATTTTTAATTTACAAGAAAAAATATTAAAACAGATTAAATATAAACATAGCACATAACATAACATAAATGTTGATAACAAGCCCAGGTTATCAACATAATTTTTTAGTTGTTATTTTAATCAATCAATCAATCTTCGTTTTGCGTCCAGAGACCCGGTTACCCCGAAGTAGGACGTTGTTTTCTTAGCCATCAACTTTTTGCGCCAAATCAATCAGTTGTATCCATTTCATTTAAATTTAGAGCTTTCATGTCTTGCTCGATTGTTTGTGACCAGGACTTCTTTGGACGGCCTTTGGGACGTGTGCCAGGTACTTCAACATCTGCAAGAAAAGTTATGGCACTGTTTCTACTTCGTTTGACATGACCAAACCACCGCAGACGTTGTTGCCGGCATTCGTCCTTTATATCATCTAAACCAGCACGACGCAGAATTTCGGTAGATTTGATGTGGTCCTTCAGGCTAATTCGTTGCATCCATCGGAGCATTTTCGTGTCGATTCGTTGAAGTTGTTGTTCCAGTTTGATTGCCATTGGCCATGTTTCTGGACCATATAACTACACCGAGCGTATCACAGATTTATAAAGTCTTGATTGTAGTGGTAGTGGGATATCACGCCGCATCAATATAGAGGCAAGGAGATGCCATTTATTCCAGGCTGCACGTACATCCCCTAGATATTGAAACGATGTGACTTTCTCTACCATAATGGCTTCAAAAACATTGCTATGTCGAATGTGTTATTGTGGATTGATGCAAGCAAGACAGACAACATTGGACACTTTAGATAAAGTACCAATTATTTTTGAACAACGTTTGTGACACCACTGGTTACACTGCTGACACTTGATTGAATTGTTACCTACACCAGCTTTACAAACTGAACAGGGCCATCGTCAAGTAGCTGTGGATTGGATGGGTTCACCAGTGTTCATTGCTTTGGTTTTGCTGATATTGACTTTGAATCCATTATCGGCAAGTCTGGTGTTCCAATCTTCAAACATCTGTGCTGCATTCTGCTCAGACGTTGCTGTTAAAACGATATCACCAGCAAACATTAGATTCCAAATGTCACCAGTGCGTATCGGTATTGTGATTTCTTCCATTACAGTTATAAATAACAGTGGACTGAGAATCGAGCCTTGGTGAACTCCAACGCGATGTCAAATGCATCTGTGTTTCCAACTGTTGTGCTGACAAAAGTCCTAGTATTCGTATACATTTCTATCACAAATCAAACAAGATATTCTGGAATGAGTTGTCGACGTAGACTCCACCTGATTGCTTCACGGGGAACAAGATCAAATGCTTTTTCAAGATCTACAAAAATGTGTGATAGTTGTTGATGCTTTGCGAGGTACTTCTCTTGCAGTTGCCAAAGGATGTGAATTGCATCAATTGTTGATTTCCCTGCTAGGACTGAGAATCGAGCCTTGGTGAACTCCAACGCCGATATCAAATGCATCAGTGTTTCCGACCGTTGTGCTGACGAAAGTCTTAGTATTCGTATACATTTCCATCACAAGTCGAACAAGATATTCTGAAATGAGTTTTGACCTGCAGATTGCTGCACGGGAAACTTGAAATGCTTTTTCAAGATCTACAAAAATGTGTGATAGTTGTTGATGCTTTGCGAGGTACTTCTCTTGCAGTTGCCGAAGGATGTGAATTGCATCAATTGTTGATTTCCCTGCTAGGAAACCAAATTGATAATTTCCGATTGTGATGCACGACGTTAATCTTCTCTTGAAGATTTTCTCGACAATATCCAGAGAATGTTCTAACAGACGTATACCCCGATATGATAAACAGTTCAATGGATCACCTTTGCATAGCGGAACTGTCATGCTATATTTCCATTCAGTCAGCATCGAGCAATTTTTCCACATTTCACGGCAAAGTTATAGTAACGTTTGGATACCTACAGTACCAGATGCTTTGATAATTTTATTTGTGAGTACAGAAGGCCCTGCTGCTTTTCCATCCTTCATAGCTTTCAGAGCTTCTGTAAGCTCCTCTACAGCGATGTCTGGAATCAGACCTTCAATGGGTTGAGCGTCAAAGTTGACATCGATGGGATTTGCTTCATTTAACAAACGATTGAAATATTCTTTCTACTGTAGCTTGATCTCATCTTGTTCAAGAATTATCTCATTTTTGTCGTTTTTGATAAATGAGGTACCAACTATGTCTTTTTTCGTACGCTTTGCTTGTTTTGCTATACGATACAGAGATTACATTTGTTCACCTTTGCTTTTATTGAGCCACTCTCTGCACTGATTTGTCCGAGCCAGTGCAACTTGACGTCTTGCATAGTTGTTCTTCTCACGGAAAATTTTATGGTCATCAACAGACTTTGATTTTTGCCATTGCTTGTATGCAACTTTCTTTTCAGCTATTGCATTTTGTACCCTGTCATTCCACCACCAAGTGTCCCGTTCATGCTGACGTTTTGTACCAGTTTTCCCACAAACTGTAGTTACAGCGTTTATCAAAACGGTTTTGTATGTACTCCAATCTGTACTGGATTGCGATTGGTGGTCTAACTGTGTGGCGACAATCTGTTGAAATTTTTCTCGATGAATATTGCTTTTCAGCTTCCACGTTTTGATTCTCCGAGCGATTTGTTTACACTTATGTTTTGACAGTTCGACCACCAGGTCTGCCACAAGGAGTCTATGTTGGGCAACACATGATTCGCCGGGTATAACTTTGACATATTTGAATAGCCTTCAGTGTTGTTGCTTGACAGCGAAAAAATCAATTTGCGTGGCTGATGGTCCACTTTTGTATGTTATGAGATGTTCCAACCTCTTTCTAAAATATGTATTCAGTAATCAAAACCCATGACTTTCAGCAAACTCAAGGATGCAGTTGCCATCTTCATTTCGTTTTCCATAGCCAAAACCGCCATGTACGTTGTCAAAACCATCTGTTTTCTCTCCAACGTGGCCATTGAGATCGCCTCCAATCAGGATTGTTTTAGATTTTGGTATTGTTGAGGTGGTGTCAGAGAATGCAGCCCAGAAGTCATTTTTCATCTCTTCTGATTCGCCTGTCTGTGGTGCGTATGCAGAAAAAATAATCATTGTTTGCTTTTTTATGCGAAGCTTGATCCACATGAGACGTGAATTAATCCTTTTAATATCCAGTACTTCTTGGGCTAGCGGTTCTCTGACAAAAATTCCAACACCATTTTTGGCCGTCTTTTAACCATTCCAGAATAGTTTATATTTTTCTTTGTCTGAGTTGACATGACAGACACCATTCGATTTCCATCGGATTTCCTGAAGGCAGCAGATGTTAATCCTTCTACGCTCGAGCATTTCTGCGATTTCCATGCTGCGTCCAGTTAGTGATCCAACATTGAGCGTTCCAAGTCTACGTACCTGGACTTAGCGTTCCTAGCCTAAGCGGATGGTCCTGGGCATGACATAAAACTGCATCCACGCTGCCTTGCGTGCTTTTGAGCAAAAGGCTAGGCCCACCGCTTATAACTGGTGGTTGTCGTTAGGATGGGTGTCCGGTTGTAAAAACTTTCCCCAAATTGCTCTTAGTTGTTTTTTTAATAAGAAATTAATATTAGTATCGAATGTTGAAATTGCTGGAATCATTTATTTTTACGCATATATTTTTATCATAATTTGATTTTTTGATTTTGATAAATTGTTACTTTATTTTATAATATTTTAATTTAAAAAAATTTTCTAATTCAATAAACTTTTACAACATTTCCATTCACATTTCTTAATAATTATTCTCATATTTTTGTGGTAATAAAATATTTTTGGTTCACAAATATACATTAGTCAATCTTGTATTAAACTGTGAAATCGTCTTACACTAACGATGCAATGCATAAACCTAGCCCTGGTTTTGTATAGGCGCAATAACGTGTTTGTGTTCTTGTTCTAGGATTCCATGTTACGACATAATCAAGATAGTCACATTAGATGATCCAAACGAAACAATCGTAATTCTTCACGCTTCATATCATTTTGCCATAGATGTCTCGATGTAGCTGTACTAAATCGAGATATCTATGCATTTTGCATTTGTATAATACGTTCATTGGTTAATATACATTTACATGTTCACGCGTAAACTAATAAATAATGTTATATGCGTATGTGTACATACGTATATACAAATATACACAAACATAGGCAGATAAATATATATATATATATAATTTATTTATTTATACATATATTTACAAACTTAGGTAAAAAATCCAGCTCAACTCTTACTACTTTATAAATTTTTAATGATTGGTATTGTTTTTGGCTCAAATATCTCGTCTTGTCTTCGAATGTCTTGATACATGCTCTTCAGAGATCTCGAATCGGTCTTGTCTTGAGCTTTCAATGTCTTTGTCTTGTCTTGTTTTTTAAAAAAAATGTCTTGTCACAGCCCTGTTGATAACTGTCAAAAATGATGCTGAAACAATGTGATAAATAATTCTGAATTTTGTGAGATATTTTAATTATTTTTTTGAGTTAACTCCACACTTTTTTTTACTGTTACTCAATTAGAAAAAAATTTGCAAAATGTTGTTTCTTTTGCATAATAACTTAACTTTTCAATCATGTATTATTTATTCAGCTAAATTTATAAAACAATAATTTAACCAATGTTGAAATTTTAAATTTTAAATAGTAAATTCAAAAAAACCATATTCAAGGTCCAGTAGACATGTTTGACAAACATTCTTTGTTTTCGAACAAGTTTGACAAATTTCGGTTTTCTTGAACCTCATGCGAGCACCCGGGCACCAACGAAACACTGTGAATGGCCTTGCACATATCTTGCATTCTTTGCCAAATTTTTCCCGAGTCTATATTAAATAATTATTTTATTTAAATATAAGTCACAAAAATTTTCACAATTTAATAATGCTAAAAATCTTTAACAAGTTGAAAACATTTTTTTAAGCCATGCATCACATTTTTTAACTCGCTAGTTGGCGTCGGCTGTACATATTTAAAAAACGCCTTTATTGTAAATATTTTATTATTATTATTAATTTATTATTATAATAAATAATTTTTTAATTAATCAATCAATATTCATTTAGCGTCCAGAGACCCAGTTCCCCGGAGGTAGGACGTTGTTTTCTTTGCCATCAATTTTTTGCGCCAAATTAGACGATCAGTTGCATCCATTTCATTTAAATTTACAGCTTTCATGTCTTGCTCGATTGTTTGCGACCAGGACTTCTTTGGACGGCCTTTGGGACGTGTGCCAGGTACTTCAACATCTGCAAGAGAAATTATGGCACTGTTTCCACTTCATTTGACATGACCAAACCACCGCAGACGGTGTGGCCGGCATTCGTCCTGTATATTATCTAAACCAGCACGACGCAGTATTTCGGTAGATTTGATGTGGTCCTTCAGACTAATTCGTTGCATCCATTGGAGCATTTTTATATCGGTTCTGAGAAGTTGTTGTTCCAGTTTGGTTTTCATTGGCCATGTTTCTGCACAATATAACAACACCGGACGTATCACAGATTTATAAAGTCTTGATCGTAGTGGCAGTGGGATGTCACGCCGCATCAATATTGAGGCAAAAAGATGTCATTTATTCCAGGCTGCACGTATGCGTGTTCGAACGGCAGCTTCAACTGTTCCAGTACAATCCAGAACATCCCCATGATATTGAAACGATGTGACTTTCTCTACCTTAATAGCTTCAAAAACATTGCTATTTCGAATTTGTTGTTGTGGATAAATGCAAGCAAGACAAACAAAATTGGACACTTTAGATAACGTACCAATTATTTTTGAACAACGTTTGCGACAACACTGGTTACACTGCTGACACTTGATTGAATTGTTACCTACACCAGTTTTACAAGCTGAACAGGGCCAGCGTCCAGTAGCTGTAGATTAGATGGGTTCACCAGTGTTCGTTGCCTTGGTTTTGTTGAAGTTGACTTTGAATCTATGATCGGCGAGTCTGGTGTTCCAATCTTCAAACATCTGACGTGGCTGTTAAAACAATATCATCAGCATATATTAGATTCCAAATGTCACCAGTGCGTATCGGTTTTGTGATTTCTTCCATCACAGTTATAAATAACAGTGGACTGAAAATCGAGCCTTCGTGAACTCCAACGCCGATGTCAAATAAATCTGTGTTTCCAACTGTTGTGCTGACGAAAGTCATAGTATTCGTATACATTTCCATCACAAGTCGAACAAGATATTCTGGAATGAGTTTTGACCTGATTGCTTCACGGGGAACTAGATAAAATGCTTTTTCAAGATCTACAAAAATGTGTGATAGTTGTTGATGCTTTGCGAGGTACTTCTCTTGCAGTTGCCGAAGGATGTGAATTGCATCAATTGTTGATTTCCCTGCTAGGAAACCAAATTGATAATTTCCGATTGTGATGCACGACGTTAATCTTCTCTTGAAGATTTTCTCGACAATATCCAGAGAATGTTCTAACAGACGTATACACCGATATGATAAACAGTTCAATGGATCACCTTTGTATAGCGGAACTGTCATGCTATATTTCCATTCAGTCAGCATCGAGCAATTTTTCCACATTTCACGGCAAAGTTGTAGTAACGTTTGGATACCTACAGTACCAGATGCTTTGATAATTTTATTTGTGAGTACAGAAGGCCCTGCTGCCTTTCCATCCTTCATAGCTTTCAGAGCTTCTGTAAGCTCCTCTACAGCGATGTCTGGAATCGGACCTTCAATGGGTTGAGCGTCAAAGTTGACATCGATGGGATTTGCTTCATTTAACAAACGATTGAAATATTCTTTCTACTGTAGCTTGATCTCATCTTGTTCAAGAATTATCTCATTTTTGTCGTTTTTGATAAATGAGGTACCAACTATGTCTTTTTTCGTACGCTTTGCTTGTTTTGCTATACGATACAGAGATTACATTTGTTCACCTTTGCTTTTATTGAGCCACTCTCTGCACTGATTTGTCCGAGCCAGTGCAACTTGACGTCTTGCATAGTTGTTCTTCTCACGGAAAATTTTATGGTCATCAACAGACTTTGATTTTTGCCATTGCTTGTATGCAACTTTCTTTTCAGCTATTGCATTTTGTACCCTGTCATTCCACAACCAAGTGTCCCGATCATGCTGACGTTTTGTACCAGTTTTCCCACAAACTGTAGTTACAGCGTTTATCAAAACGGTTTTGTATGTACTCCAATCTGTACTGGATTGCGATTGGTGGTCTAACTGTGTGGCGACAATCTGTTGAAATTTTTCTCGATGAATATTGCTTTTCAGCTTGCACGTTCTGATTCTCCGAGGCATTTGTTTAGACTTATGTTGTGACAGTTCGACAACCAGGTCTGCCACAAGGAGTCTATGTTGGGCGACACATGATTCGCCAGGTATAATTTTGACATTTTTGAATAGCCTTCAGTGTTGTTGCTTGACAGCGAAGAAATCAATTTGCGTGAATGATGGTCCACTTTTGTATGTTATAGGGATGCACCAGATTTAAGTTTTCCAAGTCCGCCCGGATTTAAAATTCAAAAACCGGCCAAGGCCGGAGCCGGATTTTAGTTACCATTTTACATACGTTAAAAAATACTCACATTTACGGTTATCTACATGTTGAACATCAAAAAATAACACCAAGCAAATAGTTAATTAATTCAAATATATAAATAAGTTGTGTGATATGCCAAATTCTGTACACAAAGAACAGCTTATAATTTATGCTGTTCTTTGTGTACAGAATTAAGATAGACAACCAATGTAGTTGCTTTAAAATTGGTGAAACATGGTCGTATTCAAAGGCGCCAGACACAACTCTAGCCGCACGATTTTGAATTGACTGTAACATCCCAAATGATTTTTCTGGTAAGCCGTTGAACAAACTGTTGCAATAATCCAAATGCATGCATTAACATCTTAAGAGTATTTTCGTCTAGCGATTTTTTATCAATTTCAACCTACGTGGTTGGAAAGTGCAAACTCTCATCAATGATTTTATGTGATGATCCAACGTTAACTTAAAATCAATGTCAACGCCCAAACTTGAAACATTTGTACAGAATTCCACTTTGACATTATCTATATCCAGTGATGAGATAGATATTTATTCTTAAAAGCTGTTGCCAGGTTCCTACCGGAAGTAGTTTTGTTTTACTCTGATTAAGTTTTAGTCTGTTTTTAATTATCCATTTATTGACCTCTGCCAGACAACGTGTTAAGTTGTTACCCATCTCATCAAACTCCTCTGGCGGGCAACTAACAATAATCTGTATATCATCAGCAAAGGCATAACCCGTGAATCCAAAGGACTTGATGACATCCAGAATCTCATGTGTGTACAACAGAAACAATATTGGTCTCAACACCGACCGCTGAGAAACTCCAAACTTTATGTTCTTAATTCTAGACCAGGTTTTATTGTAAAAAATCTGTTCAGTATGATTTGAAAAATATGATGTGAACCATGCGAGTACTGTCCCCTTTACACCAAAATCTTCACATAATCTCCGCAGTAGAATATCATGATCAAAACACAATCGAAGGCTGCACTCTTATCTAGGAAAGCAACCAGCGATACATATTGGTTATCCATCGCTGCGCACAAAGTTGAAAAAACATGTAACAAGGCTGTTTCTGTCGAATGATATTTTCTGTGTCCTGACTGATTACTATGCAACAAATTATTTTTAGATAAATGGTTTAACAGCGACAATTCTTTCCATTACCTTAGATATGAAGCGAAGATTTGATATTGGCCTATAATTGGTAATATCATTGACATCATGATCTATTCCTTTAAGAATGATCATGTTTACAGGATGCAGGAACGATGCCATTAGTCAAACACAAGTTGATTAGACTTGTTAAAAACCCAGAGAACAAACCAATGTGTTTTTTGATGAAATACGTTGGAAGGCAATCAAGTAAACATGTTTTCGTTGGACAATTTATAATTATTTTTATTATTTCTTCTTCATTATATTTCCGGAATACTAGCAACCCACTGTCCATTTCAATCTCCCTCTCAAGAAAAACTGATTTGTTACCAGCCGTTGCATCTCGTTCAATTTTATCGTTAAAAAATTTTAGAAAGCCATCACTAGTGTGCACCGTTTCAGTCTTATCAATATTGTTAACAGAGGCTTTGCAAAGTAGTTTATTTAGTGCTTTCCATAATTGTTTTGACCTGTTTCTATTCTCATTAACCAAATTTGACCAAAAACAGTTCTTTTTCTTGGCCAAAACCAACTTCTTTGATTTCAGTGCACTAATCCATTTATCTTTTCCATCACTTGACATTGAGTTCCTATAATTTCTTTCGAGCTTTCTACAGAGTCTTTTATGCTTCCGACATTCATTATCATACCATGGCACCACAGAATCATGACGACATTCTACTCTGTGTAGCAGCGCAACTATATCTAAAATCCTTCTTATTTCATTTTCAAATAGGTCAAACAACTTGTCAACATCTGTACCTGAACATGCTTTACCAATCGGCGAACCAATGACCAGCGAGATAAATTTTTTTTCATCAATATGTTTCCACGATCTGATCACCCTGTAGCATTTACTGATTCGTTTCCGTTTAAAAGGCAAACAAGATTTAACCAGCCTGTGGTCAGAATATATTCCACTTGGATAAACCATTACATCAGAAATACACAAACCACTACTGGAAACAATCAAATCCAGTGTTCCACCTAAGTTATGAGTGGGTTGGTCAAACCAATTCTTCAAACAAAAATCATCAAATAACTCCAACAATGATCTGGTATGCGGACATTCTTCTCTATCGACACGAACATTGAAATCACCTACCAAGACAAGATCTGAAACCAGCAAGGACATATTTTCCAAAATACATCTAAGTTCCCTAAAGAAAGCAGTTGTGATAGGCATTGATCCAGGTCTATATATAGCCAACAAACCAAATTCATGTTTACCATATGTTATTCTTGTTGCTATTGCCTCAAACGTAGCTAATGGTGGTAAGTCAAATCGTGTGTATCTGAACCCTGTTTTAAAATAGATTATAAATCCCCCATGATATGGATCAGGTTTTTCGCGCTTCTCAGCTGAGCGTTGATATTTACCTTAACAACCATAATATAAACAATCTTACCGTTAAAAATTTTAAAAATCGCGTTTTATATTGTTTATAGTTATTAAATTTATTTTATTGGTTTTCTGTTTTAATTAAATAATTTATATAAATTAATAATTACTTGTTCCTTCTTATCAAATATCTTACATACCTTATATATAATGCACTGAAGATGAGTTATCTATAACTCGAAATAGCTATTTGCAAATTTATTTAATAAAAATTTTTAAAAAACAATAAAATGTCTAATTTCTCTGAAATTAATAAATTAAAAAGAAATATAAAAAAGTTGAACAATGTTGAAAGTAGTGTTGAATTTTTGATATATATATATATATATATATATATATATATATATAATGTAGCTATATGATCCATTATATACAATTATATAGTATATACACGTGCACAAGTTCTTTTACACAAAGATAAGCTCAAACATGCATAAAGCATGTTATAGCATAAAGAAAATTGTCCAGCTCACCTCACAATTATTGATGTTGTTATTATGTGTCATATATGCTTAGCCTTTAACTTATTGACATAAAATTAATTAAATTTAATAAAAAAAATTTTCATTTTTAAATGTTGATAGACGCTTGATTTGAAAAAAAGCCGGATTTTGGCCGGAGCCGGGACCGAACTTCGGTGCATCCCTAGTATGTTATGAGATGTTCCAACCTTTTTCTAAAATATGTGTTCAGTAAGCAAAAACCCGTGACTTTCAACAAACTCAAGGATGCGGTTGCCATCTTCATTTCGTTCTTCATAGCCAAAACCGCCATGCACGTTGTCAAAAACATCTGTATTCTTTCCAGCCGGGCCATTGAGATCGCCTCCAATCAGGATTGTTTTAGATTTTGGTATTGCTGAGATGGTGTCAAAGAACGCAGCCCAGAAGTCATTTTTAAATATTAATTTAATTAAATCTGTTAATTATTTCATGCATTGTTATCGGAAACCTACAAGCATACAAAATTTCAGCTCAATTAGACCGAGGGATGTTATTGAAAAATCGACTTCAGGATTTATAAAGTGACAAACAATTTAGCAAATAAAATGTGTCATAAACTGAGCCATATTCTATTTTGGATAAGTTTTGTCTTTTATTGCTCTTTATACAAAATAAAATAAGAGTCCATTTGCCCAATAAATTTTTTCAGCCCAACTTTTTCTTTACCTGTCATTTCGATTTTTTATCATACTTTTATTTCATGCAAGCATATTATTGACTACAAGAGCAACCATCCCGGGCCACCCACCCATCAATGATATTTTTGTTTTAAATAGTCATAAAAACTAAAAGTAAATGATTATGCAAGAGAAAAAAATTCTTACCATTCTTAAATATGGATTGTCCCCTAAACAGGTTTGACAGAGTATGGGAAACTCCTGTTCAAAGTAATTAACAATAAATAATAATAAAATAATATAAAACAAAATAATAATTTTATTTCCAAATAAAAATTTATACATTCTTTTGCAACTAACTGCAAGCAAAATTATATTAGTGAAATTTCAATTAATTTTATATAATACTTTCAAGATAGGTTGCAAAACACTAATAAAATCAGACATTTATCTTAAAATTGTATTTACGCAACTGACATATATTACAGAAAAAGGATGTATTCTGCAAATTTAAAAAAAACTACGATACATTCTTTATACTACCCTAAAAATCTTAACTCAAAAATATAAATATTAGAAAGTTTTTATCTAAAACCTTTTTTAGATGCAACAAAACTGTGAATGGTCCTGGTTAACGAAAGTTAATTTATCAAATGTATTCGAAACATTAAAAAAAATTCGACTGTCTATGTTTTCATGAAGATACCATCATAAATTAGATTTAAAATAATTTATCTAAGAAGCATGAAAATAAATATTATATCATTGTGGTAAAATGTTCTTATTTACATAACCACAAACATTCACCACATCTGGATTGTAAACTTTTTCATGACAGAAACTAAAACCATTTTTTGGAGCAAAAGAATATATATCTAGGCTGCACATTTACAAATATTTGTATGACACTGACACTTTTAGACTATTTTGCACTAAAAAAAGAGAAATAAAGAGAAAAAAACAAACTACCCCGTTGAATATAAATTGTAAGGTTTACAAAATTATTTTGAATTTCACTATGTCTTATTGTAACGCTTTTTCCAACTAGGTATGACGGAATAATAAATTCAAATTGTTAAAAGAAATGTGGATATATTGGTTTCAAAACCAAACATAAGCTTAGGTGATAATTTTCTAAGAAATTAATTGTAACAATGTATTAAAATTGTTTGAAATAACAAAAATTTTTAAAATATTTTGTTTGTTGTATGCGAAGGTATTAATATTTTTTTGTGGGTTTGTTTGGATAATTTTCAATTACACGTGGTTGAAAAATAAAAAATTTGTTGCAGAAAATTTGTTAGGAAATCATGGAAGGTTGTCAAAAAGTTACTAAAAATTGGAAAAGAAGTAATATTACCAATGATCGAAAATCAACTTAGATTTGGTAAAATTGAAATATGTTGTAGTTGAACGAGTTAACGATAAACTTGACGCAGTTCAATTTTTGAAAACGACATTGTTTGTAATTCAATATTTTTTTTACAGAAAGTTCAAAGTTCATTGTATTTTTTTGAAGTGCAACAAACTGGAATCTCGTGATTTTTCGGATAAATATGTAGTTGAAAAAATAACAACAGGATTTGATCCATGTGACAAATCAGATTTTTGGTCTGGCAATGTAAGTATTAGTAACCATCTTTGTTCATCAAAAAATTGTATTTTTTTTTCAATGAGTGGAATGTGTTTGAATTTGGTAATAAAGATGTAATTGAAAAGTCAAGTAGTAAAGTTTATTGACATAATAAGTTTATTAAATAACTTTTCTTTGTTGACATTTTAAGAATCAATTTGTACTTTTTTTTACAGAAATGTAATGCAGTTAAATTGATAATTTATCAAACAATGAAATATTTGTAAAAAAAATCCTTATTTCGGTCCTATAATACTAGTAACCAACAAATTATTCATCTAAGAGTTCAAAAATAAAACTGAAATTAATAATATTTGCAAAATTCATACATAGATTCGTTATAAATAAAGCCTGAAATATTTACAGGCTCTAGCTAGATAATTACTTAAGTCAAATTTTTATTTAAAAAAATCCGTTTTATATGGTTATTAGCATTAAACTTGAAAAATTATTTTAACAAAAACTGAGCTCCAGATTTTATTAGAATTTTCACCAAATGTACTTAGATATGTATGTTGCTGTTAAAGAGTCAAAATTAAGAACCCCTAAAATCTCTACTAAATGTGTATAATTCGTTTCCTAGAAAGCTGGTGGCGGAATTCAGTGAAGGCATGGCGACCATACAAACAGCTGGAGAGCCAACGCATGATGGAGCCAGGTAATGCTGAAGACAGAAAATCATCTAATAGTGTTTGATGGTTAATGGTGTCAAATGTTTTTGAGGTCCAGCGCTGCGAGGATGATTCGATGGGTTGGTCTTTAGGTTGATACCGTTTTCTATATCAATTGTCATCAGTGTGAGGGCGGTTGAGGTTGAGCACCAGGACGAAAGCCATGTTGATGATCTGCCAATGTTAGATAATAGAAAATAATAGGAAGAAGGCACTTTTCAAGAATTTTGATGACTGGGCAAAGCAAAGATATGGGCCGGTATGATTTCGCAATGTCATCTGGTTTTCCTGGTTTGAGCAGTGGGACAGTCTTGGAAGTTTTGTAGATGTCAGGAATAATGCAGTGCTGAAGAAACAAATTAATGTTTGTACGGTAGCCAATTCCATGAGGGCCGAGATGTTTTAAATAAATTATTGTTAAATTGGCAGCGGTTTGTTTCAATCAAATTATTAGTGTTAGATGTTATTGTTAATTGAGATGAGGTCATTTTGGCTATTGAAGTGTTTAGGGACTCTTTTTGGTGAGAACAGTTGTCGCATAAGTAATGATATTTGAATTTTGAAAAACAGTTGTTATCTATGTGGTACCACTTGCAGGAGGTCCTACATCTGACGGAGTATCGTTTTGTTGATAGTTCTATGGCACACTGTAAAGATCCAGGTCTTTGAACCTGGGTTAGGTTCAATTTCGGCACTTAATAGAAGGATAAGGAGCAAAAACCAGATATGATCACTTAGAAGGGAGGGTTTGTTGAAACAGTTTAGTGGGATGATGAGTAGGTTGTATGAACTTCGTCCCAATCGGCTCCCTCACGGAAAGGTTGTTGCTCCAGAGCCCCATATTTTACTATATATATATATATTTATTTATTTATTTATGTGGGGTCTCGTGGCCCAGTGGTTAGCCGTCTACCACTCCCCACGCCAGGGTTCGAATTCTGCAGTTTCTACAGGTTCATCCGGGTAGGCCGCTTCCGGTCAACCCAGCCGTCCATCCTTTCATGGTTGGTAAATGGGTAGAACGCGTAAGTTGTCGCATGTTGGCCGGGCGAGATGCTCAGTGGTTCAAATGCGCGGCTAAGTCAAACATCTCAATGGCTATCATATACTCAGCGTATATGATGCGGTGCTTGCGCGTGCACATAAAACACATGTGTACGTCGTGTGAAAAAAAAAAGGATAAACAGCCTTTGTGGCGAAGACGGCTACTTCATATAAATACATGAAAAACATAATAAAAAAATATATAGATAATTAATCTGTAACATTGTAAGTGGTTCTGCGTATGTCAGAGCTGCAATAATAAAGACTAATAATAAAAAATTATTTATAAATATATATATATTGATATATATATTTAAATATATATATCAATTGTGTGTATATATATATCAATTGTATATATATATATATAATTTGTATATAATGTGTTTATTCAACCACAGCACCATATACGCTGAGTATATAATCGCCATTGAGATGTTTGCTCAGCGCGCATTTGAACCGCTGAGCCATCTCGCCGGCCAACATGTGACAACTTACGTTTTCTCCCCATTTACCGACCTCGAAAGCCGGCCGGCTAACCGGATAAAAATGCAGAAACTACCGGACTCGAGCCATGGTCGTAAATAAACGTGGGTAAAAAATTAAATGATTTACATTTATAGAAATTGTCAGATTAGAAATTTAATAAAAGAAAGACTACTTTCAAGTTTATCATTTCAGCCAGATGCTTGCCAAAACCGTTGAATGAAACTGGAAACAATAGACAAAGTTGATAAAAGTTGTAAATTGACAATAGAAAAAAAAATTTAGTAAACGGACACGCTAACCACTCGCTCACGAGACCGCTCATGCATATTAGAAAGTGTTTTTTCACATCAGCATCCACATTTAATTTTAAGCCAGGCAGTTTCAAATAAATCGTGGACGTGTTGTGTGCAGATTAGTATATGACGTTCTCCCAGTGGGCAAAAGTCATTTGGACGACATCATGATCAGAGGATGGTCAGGTTTTACACTTTTCGACGTAAGGCTCAACCGTTCTATCATGCTTCTAGTTACAATAATTTTTGAAGCAGGTTTAGTTATAATAATTTTTGAAGCAAGTTTTGCCTCTTTTGCCTATGTGTTTACGTTTACGTTTAGTTTTAATAATGAGTCTACTTTTTTACTAAACCACCCATTGAAGGACAGCTGTAATTGAACATATTGTATTTTAAGTTTATTTCATATAGCTCGAAGGTGAAATTGCTTAATTATGATTTATGTTTTTTGTTTTCATTTGAAGGACCTTGTTCCCCAAAAAAAAAGCCACAAATCTTACAAAAATTCTCCACCGAGTCGGAAAAATTTGCAATTTATGTACATACGCGGCCCTCACAGCAAAAAGTTTGCCAACCCCTGTATTAAGACATCAAAACATTATGAAGACACTGCAGACAGAATAAGGAAAGACAAAAATGCCATTATAATTGCTAATAACAGTTTGTAAATGATAAAACCATAACTGAATAGCGTTAATAATCATAGTAATCCGGATTTTTTTTTAGAAATATATAGGTTGTTTATATTCTACGTCAAATATAAAATGGAAAAAATGATTGATTTAAGGGAAGTATTCTTAAATTAATTAATTTGTTTGGGCCGGAAACGGTTTTTTGAACATTGAGTATCCAGTAGCCCTGATTTTCCGGAATTTTTTTTTAGAAATAAATAGGTATTCATATTCCACGTCATCTGTAGAATGGAAAATGTGATCGATTTAAGGGAAGTATTTTTAAATTAATTAATTTGGTTGGCCCGAAATGGTTTTTTAAAGATTGTGTACCGGTAACCATGATTTTCTGGATTTTTTTTCAGAAATACATAGGTATTTATATTCTACTTCTCCTGTAGAATGGAAAAGTGATCGATTTAAGGGAAGAATTGTTAAATTAATTTGTTTGGGCCGGAGACGTTTTCTTGAATTTTCCGGAATTTTTTAGAAATAAATAGGTATTCATATTCTACATTATCTGTAGAATGGAAAAAGTTATCAATTTAAGGGAAGTATTTTTAAATTAATTTTTATCAGTTATTATTTTACATAGGCGTATATATATATATATATATATATATATATATATATATAATTATATATATATATATCATATATAAATATTTATATGTACGAACATGTCTATAAGCGTATTATTATACATTTTACATATATGTTTGTGCGAAAATATATTTTATGTGTATGCATCTGTACAACATTTCTTATAAATGTCCATGCAAAAATATTCTTTACTACGCTCTCTTGCTTTTTAGCCATGTCTCACTGTGCATATCTTTGTGTGGCTTGTAGCAATCATCAATCCTGTGTTTTGTGGAGGTTATGGTCAGAGAAAGAATTCAAATTCTAGACAGTAAAATCCTTGGCTAACTTCCCGCACCTCCTGCCTCCTGGGGTATAGCCTGGATATTACTAGCCCATGAACATATTACTAATTGCTAGTATAGCCTGGATATTACTAGCCCATGAACATATTACTAATTGCTAAAATCATTTATATTACAATATAATTACATTTATAATTTTTCATGCAAACAAAAAAACAGAACAAAAAAAATTAGCTAACACTTTCTTCCCAGTTTTGTCTGTTGTACGTGTTGGCACTTTTTGACATCGCCATTGCCGCTGAATAATTAATCAAAAATTAAAATACTGCTAGATAAATATAAACAATATGCATAAGCGGTGAATTTGCTGTACATAAACGTTAAGTCAGTTAAAAAACAACAAAGAAAGATAAAAAACAGTTCCAATATGGGCAGCCGAAAATGTTTTTTTGAATTAGATGAGATCGATATATAAAAATAAATATATATATGCAGTAATTGATGAAAACTACAGAATTTTTAACGTTGGATAATTTTTATAAAATTTTTCAATATTACCAAATTCTTGTCGTCATTATTTATTTTATTAAAGTTAGAATAATAAACAGTTTTCCAATTCATTCTAGAGTGTATAGGGCATATTTCAATTTTTCAATTTAAATGACGACATGAATTTGGTTCGAAATATTGAGGAATGTAATAAGAACCTATCCAACACTAGAAATTCTGTAGATTTAATAAATTACTGCAATAATTATAGTTTTTTACCAGCGTATATTTATCTATATAATTATTGGATTAAAACTGTCAGAAATGCAATTATTGATAAAAATCAATAAATCAGCAAATTCGTCCATAAAGGTTGAGTTACAAGTTGAAGCCAAAAAACAAAGAGGCAATTTTCAAAAAAAAAATTCAAACAGAAAATTTTAAAACTGCAGACAAGTCAAATCAATTTGTGAGTTAGACAAAATTGACAACAACACCAAAATCAAACATTTACTCAACGACAACACAAAATTTCAAACAATCACAAAAGGCCCAATTCACCTAAACACTAAACTCAACGCAATAATTAGAAAAATCAACGAAAACATACCTCAAGAAAAAAAATCCAGCTACTCTAAGGCAAATACTCACCTTGATACCAACATTAAAACGCACAAAAATAACAACCCCTTTGCCATATCATCAGTCAAATGCCAACAGTAACATACCCTTTTGCCAAATATCTAAACAAACTCCTGACCCCATAAACCTATTTATATATATATAAATCAATTGATGTTTGTTAGTCTTGCTAAAACTAGAGAACTGCTAAACGGATTTATCTTATTTTGGTCTAAAAATGTTTGTGGAGGTCTAGGGAAGGTTAAAAATAAGAAAAATTTAAATAATTGCCGGGAAAACCCTAAAAACAGCAGAAATTGTGTTACGATACCTATGTGTTACTATATCTATGTGTTACTAATTACGATATTCTATATATACAAAACTTTCTTTATTTTGTTGATTCTTTGTGATGGGCAAATTTAAAGTAATATGCTCTTTTTGAATTTTTTGTGATTGTGACACTTTACTACTGAGCGAAAAATTTTTTCACTTTGATTATTTACAATTTACGATGCCGAGGAGAAGACGACCTGACTTAGCTCGTCGCAGTCAATCAAATGTGCAAAAAGCACGTGCTAACCGCACTAATGTCTAGAAAGATTCAAATCAAAAAAATAATCGTATTGCTATGTCAGAATAGCGTTATTTAGTGAGTGGTAATGAAGTAGATAGGTTTAGAATGCAACGAGTTTGTGCACATCAAACACAACAACAGCAAGCACGACATAATAAAATTGAGCAAATCCACAGACGAAGTGCTTCTGTGATTCTTGAACGAGCTGCATTCTACTATGATCCGGCATTTGTTGTGACGACATATTGGTAACATTTGGGAAAATGAAAATAATTTGTAAATATTGTAAGGTTTTAAAATACACGCATGAATCTATTAGATTACGCTGTGCTGGAGGCAAAGAAAAATTGACACAATTGGTTTCACTACCAGATCCTTTATGATCATTAGTTTCTGGGATTGGAAAAAATTCTAAGCACTTCTTGGCCAACATTCAGAAATATAGCAGCTCTTTTCAGATGACATCATTTGGTGCTACACATATTATACAAAATAATTTCATGCCGACTTTAAAAGTATTATACCAGAATATATTTTTATAATATTCAGTATGTACAAAAATATATATATATCGAAAATATTGAATTGACAAATTTAAAAAATACAGATACAAGGACAAATTTGTCACTTACTGGGGACTCTGTTACCAGTATTTGATGCAGATTATTAATTTTTACAAATTTATTTTATGGGAAATTCAGATGTGAAAGCTGATATTCGTTGTGCTCACAATCCAACAGTGAAGAGAATTATTGTCCATGAATTACAAATGTTTCTTCATCAAAATAACAATTTAGTAAACATGTTTAAAATAGCATTGGATCAGATGCTTGATGCTGCCGGAGGAACCGGAAAAACACTTTTAATTTCATTCCTTTTGCCGAGATGATGTTTTGTCGCCAGACACTTCAATTAACAACTAACCTGCAAGTATTTTTGCAACAAGATTAAACTGAGAATGTGCTTGCGAAGCAGTTTTTAAACATTGGAAATAACATAGTTGCAGTGGAAACCTCGACAGGATTCATCGCGTTACCCATAGATTTCTGTCATATCACAGACTCAAAAGAGAAGCTTATTTAGCGTGTTTTCCAGATATAACGCAAAAGTTCAATAACCATAATTGGCTGGGTGAACTAGCAATATTGACGGTGAAAAATAAAAATGTCGAGGATCTCAATGCTACCATTCAGAATTTTCTTCCAAGACAGTTGGTTTCCTTCAAATCAGTCGACACCGTTATAAACCAGGATGACGTAGAGAGAAAATAAATACCACAGTTTTTAAAATTACTGGAATTGTCTGGATTATCACCTCACTATTTGCAGTTTAAAATAGGGTCAGTTGTCATCATGCTGTGTAACATTAATCAACCTCGACTGCAATGGAACAAGACTTGCTGTGAAAAAGCTGATGAATAACGTCATTGAGGCAACAATCATAAAAGGAAAATACAAAGGAGAGGATGTTTTGATGATTTCAACCAATTTACCATTCGATTTTAAACGCTTACAATTTCGAGTCTGGCCTGACCATAATGACCATAAATAAATCGCAAGGACAGTCATTAGAAGTTTGCAGAATCAATTTGGAGTTTCCGCATAGATTTATACGTCGCGTGTTCGTGCGTCGGAAAACCGTCTTTTTTTGTTTATTTACGCAACACAAAACAAAAAATATAGTTAATGAGAAAGCTTTAAATTGATTAACGAACTCTTTCATAGCAGTGTGTGTCTGTCAATATAAATTTTGAACATTATAAATAGCCAGTATTTCATGATAACTCTATTTTATAATTAAGCAACATAATATGTCGAAAATAATAATAAAACTCTATGCTTCGTTCAAAAAATGCTTTTTTTTTATTAAACACGGATTCGTTTTGTTTGTTTTAAAATTATTTTATACAAAAGTTTAGGTCTTATTTATCGATTGAGGCAGTACAAAGTCTGTCAGGTAATCTAGTTCTTAATAACTATAATCTCCACTTCTCATGGAAAATTATCAATCTATTGAACACTAATCATCAAATCATATTGCGTCTCTGGATGTCGAATCTTTGTTTACAAATGTTCCCATCTATGATATTATCATCAATAGTGTTAATCATTTAGACAAACACCAAAAACACATCTCAAATCTCTTTTCCAAATCTGCATCACCGAAGCACTTTTCCACACCACCACAGGCAAACTATACAAGCGAATTGACGGTGTAGCCATGCGCTCATCACTCGGTGTCCTGTTCATAAATTATTTTAAAAACGTCTTGAAAGCAAAACGTTAAGCAAAACGAAATTAAAAACAAACATTTATGCCAGATATGTTGACGATATCTTCGTCACATACGATGATCCGAAACAAGTCTACCAACTCTAGCAATCCTAAACCAATCAAAATGAATTTCACCATCAAGCAAAAAGTGAAAATTCATTGCCATTTCTGGATGTTTTAGTAACACGTGACGAAAAAAAATTTACAACTGCTGTATATGTCAAAGCAACAAATAAAGATATTTGTTTAAACGGGTTAAGGGCGCGATGGTTTAATAGCTAAGGTGCCTGGCATTGTTGATGCAGTGTCCGAGTTCAAATGCAAAAATAGCTCCCCGCCTATTACATGCAAAAGTGCGTGATTCGTTGATTCACGTGCATTTATGCACCGTGTGTTTGTTGTAATGATGATAATGCGCCTCAGTTGCTTGCCATGGCGCTAAATAAAATGACATTATTATTATTATTAAGCGAATGTACGGAACAATTCAAAGTAAGTACAATAAAATTCACACATTCATCCTCAACTGAAGATTGCAATAGGAAACTAAAAAAATTACTAATCTACTAGTAAGCAATGGCTACAAAACATCATCCAATGAGAGCACCATTTTACAATGATTACAACGAGATAGCAATATATATAAAAACAACAATGACAACGACATAATCCTATATTACAGAAATCAAATGTCAACGGCACATAAAATAGACGAAGTCGTCTTTGAACATATCATAAAAAGAAATGTTACACAAATCAATGATACTAATAAAACAAAATCCAGGATAAACTACAATAATTGTAAGACATCACAATTGGTCTTAAAGAACAACCGCACTTCTAAAGACGATTCTACTTTGAAGCGTAATAATGTAATATATGAATTTAAATGCCCTATTGACGACTGTGCGCGTCAACAACATTCGTATATTGGTGTTACGACCAGTTCACTATCAAGACGTCTCACAATGCATACATAAAAAGGAGTTATCAAATCTTGCTTGCAATTAACACATACAACTTCAATAACCCACAAAATTCTTGACAACACAAAAATAATTTATCAAAACACCCACACAATACATTTAAAAATTGCAGAAGCTGCCCTAATAGATATCAACCCAAATAAACATCCATCAAAGAATGATCAACTATACGCCTTAATACTAATTTTAATTACAATGAAAAACGAAGGAATGACAACAACAAAGATGAAAAATACGACACAAAATAATAAACTTTGCTAAAGAACTTTGTTTTGTTTAAAGAAATTATATAAACCAAACCTGCACTGAAGATGATTTATGAAAAAACAAAATAAGGCCTCATCTGCATCATGAAACTTTCAGAACCACTTACAATGTTACAGATATATTATCTATATATCTTTTGATTATGTTTTTCATGTATTTATATGAAGCAGCCGTCTTCGCCACAAAGGCTGTTTATCCTTTTCTTTTCATACGGCGTACATATGTGTTTTATGTGCACGCGCAAGCACCGCATCATATACGCTGAGTATATGATAGCCATTGAGATGTTTGACTCAGCGCGCATTTGAACCACTGAGCCATCTCGCCGGCCAACATGCGACAACTTACGTCGTCTACCCATTTACCAACCACGAAAGGATGGACGGCTGGGTTGACCGGGAGTCGGCTACCCGGATGAACCTGTAGAAACTGCAGAATTCGAACCCTGGTCGTGGGAGTGGTAGACGGACAGGCTAACCACTCGGCCACGAGACCCCTAATTTTGAAGTATGATAGTGTTATAACCGCTGGTATGATTGAATTACGCTATATAGTTAATTATTGTTATTCTGTTATATTTGTTATCTTTGCTATTTGTCATTGATTGTAAACCATAAAATCTTTTCATACCATAGAGGATTGTAAAAACCTACTGTAGAGGCTATCTAAGATGTTGCAAATAGCGAATTTAGTAGCGAGGTTTGATGCGAAGTGGTAAATGTGATTTATGAAGTTATTTAGATGAGTTTATCGTTTCTATTACTGTTAGCATTCAAATAAACGTTCAACCAAGCTTGCGTTTAAAGAAGTTGTGTTCATCTATCGGAAATCTTGAATCTAAATCTACGGAATAACGATAACTTGACAATTGTTAAAAGCTACTACACTGGTGTTGGAAACATAGAGATTTTGAAGTTATAACACTGATGTCGGTAGTAACGAGCGTCAAAGATTACAACAACACATTGTCAGGTCCACAAGAATACAACATCACGGGAGGAAACCTCAGGGCTCAGTTCTAGGTTCTCTCCTGTGGAACATAATGTACGACTTGTTGAAGCTAAAATTGCCATTGGACGTCAGCCTTGTAGCGTATGCGTATAATGTGGCTGTAGTTGTTGTTGCAAAATACCTTGAGGAAATAAATTTTCTTTTAACACCTTAAATTAGTAAATGGATGAAAAGTCAACCTGGAACTGGCAAAATACAAGACGAGGGCAGTACTTATTACAGAAAAGAAACAAGCAGAAACCTTACACTGACACTTGGAGAACATAAAATAGCACCACAACCATTCATTCGGTACCTAGGAATGACGAACTTTTAAACAGTAAGTGGAACACGTTAGCAACTAAGTCATTAGAGTGAAAATAGCCTTATCTCAGTCAATGCCTAACGTGGGGGTCCAAAACAAAACAGAAAAATATTACTGTCGTCCACTGTCACGTCACGTTGGTATTAACATATCGGATTTTGTCTGGGCTAATATATTTAAAACCCATGACACGAAAAAAATTTTTTATCGGTGTATTGAGGAAGTGCTTTGAAAATTGCCAACGCCTTCCGCACGGTTTTCGAAGATGCAATTTGTGTTATTGCTGGTATGTTGCCTAACATGAAACTAGCCTGAAAAAGAAAGGCCTTAAATTTACAAAAAAGAACAACTACTCGAATACAGATGGACTCAGAATAGCAAGCGACAACACATCTTGAATCGATGGCAAATGCAGTGGACTCTGCAACAGCTGGCAGGTAGACATATCGTCTTATACATCAAATAAATGTATGGTTTAACGGAAATCATGGTGTGGTTAACTATTACCTGATGCAGATGCCTTCATGACATGGATGTTTCCGGGCATATCTCCATCGCTTTGGGCATGATGTATATTTGGAAAGCCCATTATGTCTAGAAATTAATGAAGATACAGAGAAAATATTTTTTGAGTGTCCCAGCTTCAACATGTCAAGAGAAAATTTGGAAACTGTTCTCCAACAACAAATCCAGCCTGAGCACATAGTGAAAGCTATGTTTTTATCAAAAATTGCTTGGGATGCGACCAATGCATTTGCGTCTGACAATTTGCGAATCACGGTGGTTTTTGAGTTTCGAACAAACGACAAACAGTATTCGAACCATTCCGCCGCGTAATTGCACAGCAAAACTTGTCACTACATACTGAGCTGACTCGACAACCAAGAGCAATAAAGAAAAATGCAGATTAAGTAACATTTATTTTAGAATTTGTTTAAACTTATATTAAATTCTAAAATTAGTTGATTTTTACAAAATCGTTTAAAAAAATGCTTTTTGAAATAAAATGAAATAGTTTAAGTATTGACGGATGTGGTAAAAGAAGTTTCTAATGATATAAATAACTTAGATGTGTCGTTTTTTTTTTGGAGAATGGTACACAACAAAAATCTTTGGTTAAATTTTAAAATTGCGCTATATGATTAATTTCAATTATTATTTTGATTATTTGTAATCTTTGCTATGTTTGTAATCTTTAGATTTTAAAAATCTCTTGTATATAAGGAGCAGTGAATAGCGAAGTTAGTAGTGAGGTTAAAAGAGAGATCGTAAATTTGATTTATGTAGTTACTTGGATTAGTTAATGGTTTCTATTACTGTTGGCATTCGAATAATGGTTCAACAAAGTTGGCGTTTGAAGCAGTTGTGTTCATCTACTTAAAATCTTGAACCTTTAGAATAACGATAACTTGATCGTTGGAAGCTACAGCATGGTGTTAAAAATTTAGAGATATTTGAAGTTATAACATTGGTGTCGGTAGTAACAAGCGTTAAAAGTTCACATTATTATAAGTATATGAGATATACACGATTATACTCCCCTACACACGTTCACACACACACTCATACTTTCTTACCCGTATTGAAAAATTTGAGCATATAAATAATTGCTCGTACACATCCATCTTTTCTCACCAACATTCATACATTTATGCACATACTTTTACAAGTTGTCTACTCAGAAAAAAAACAGTGTGATGGCCAGATTTTCATGGATAGAAAAACAAAGTAAAATATTTAATTTATTTTAAATTTTATTTTTGAATGTAGGAAAACAAACAAGTTAATAAAATTTCAAATCTGTTATAAAAAATATAAACATTGATTTGGGAAAAAAATCATGAAAAACGAGGATTAAACTAATGGTCTTTACATTTAGCCGGATATTCAGTCTGCATTTCGATTATTGCTGCCTTTATGCCCGCTAATATCTCATTACCTGTCGGCAAAATTTCTGATGGAGGAAGAATAAAACTTGATTTGTTTCTCAACTCAATTGTATATACATATGGGATTTTTGGCACACCTGAGGCCCAGTCACGTGATGTTCCAGATGAACTGTCTGTTAAATATTTAACTATTTTTAACAAACAAAACAAATTAAATAAAATGTCTGTGCTATGGTTCTTAATTTAGAATCATTTTAGACATTTGTATAATTTTATATCATATAATTTTTGATCAATGCATAAATAAATGCAATAAATAAATGCTAGAAAGTTCCAGCATCTAAATATTAATTCATATGTTATTACTAAGTAGAGTTTTTGGTTGAAGCTTTTTATTTTTGTTTGCTGTTTCAGTGTTGAATGCAACCCTTGAAATTTGTCGATTATCTTGAAAAAAATATAATGCGGAATAACCGTCAAAAATTAAAAAATTATTTCACCATATTATATATATATATGTATATATATATATGTATATATATATAATATACGCCCATACATTACTTATAGAAAATTCCTTATTTTCGATACGTGTACCATGTAAAAGTGTCTGGAAATAATTTTATAAATTTTGATTACATATTAGAGCCCCAAGCAGAGAAGAACAGCAACCGCTCGCATCAGCAGAGTTAACGTCCGCAACAGCCCGCATCCGCACTGCTCATTATCCGCATCCGCACCACACCCACTAAAAGGTAACCAAAATCGGCCGCCTTAATCTCATGTTTAAAATTAGAAGATAGCAATACATTGGTGAGCAATTTATTTACAATACATTTATAACCAAAAAAATTATAAAAGAAGAATTTAATAAATTTCTAATTTAATAATTGAAATAACATCGGCCAGAACAACGAGCACAAAATGAACGACGCTTTCTTTATTCAAATCCGCTGAAATAATTTGTAGAAGCAGCCTAATCAACGTGGACCCCAGAGAAACTCAGCTATGGTCATTAAAAACACATACAGACACACACCCGTTTATATGTTTTTTTTTTGTTGTTCATATTTAACGGCATTTATGCTCCCAAAGTGGTGCAATTGTTTGCCAAATTAAGAAAAATTATTATTTTTTTTTTCTCCATGTGGAAAAATAGAAGTTCAGATAATATGAAATATGTTTATTGCACTGAACTTAGTGAAAGAGAAATACTATGGGAAAAATATTTAAATCATATCGTAGTAGTTACAATCCTTCAGAAATTGTATTACATTGATAATATTAGTATTATTCTTAAAATTCTCTGAAAGCGTTTATATATGCAAACAAACGAAAAAACAAAATTATTTTATTCTGAAAATTTAATTTTGCGGGCGGTTTATTGAATAACGCACTTAAATCCGCATCCGCGGCAAACCGCACAGGCAAAATCCGCAAACCGCAAAATTCGCGGAGCTTTGAGGATTTTTTAACCACGGTTTGAAACCGCATTGCGGTTATCTGCTTGGGGCTCTACTACATGTTTTCAATCGCTTGGATCTGAATTTTTTGTAATATACGCTTTTCTTTTCTTATATACTGTATTAATATATGATTTTTGTGTTTTCATACATTTAAATTAACATTAAAATAAGTTTATATTTTATAAATATGCTATATTATTTTTTCTTAAATAACACTAAAGTTTATTATTTTGTACAACGTATATAAAGTTAAAATTTAAACGCTTGTTAATCTCTATGCTATTCACAATAATAGAACTAAAAATTAGGGCATTCTTGTGTTAATAGTATTATCGACTGCACAACGTTATATATTTATAATTTCTTGTACAATGTGTGTTCTATATATATATATATATATATATATATATATATATATATATATATATATATGATACACTCATACACTAAATGCAATATCGTAAATATTAATTTAAAACCGATTCTTCAAGAAACACTTTTTTAATTTTTATGATGAAGCAATAAAAAATGTAATTTTACAAAATTAGAAATTGCTAAATTATTTAAGCTAATGAAAAAAAAATATATATATACATAACTGACACAATATGTTGGATGCAGAGCCGAATTTATATCTTTTACCATTTGTTGAATGAATTGCATTAACGCCAGCCATTCCCACTTTCTTCTAAATATCATAAAATGTTACGACAAAACTACTTTTGAAAATTTATTTAACTATCTTACCAAACTAAAATAGTTTTTTGGTAATTCTTTGGTGTATCCCCAAGAAGACATCCAAATTTGACCATAAGAATGCAAAGTTATAAAAAGATCCCATATTGGTCCTTCAAAAATTTTATATTATATTTTAATATATTGATTGGTTTTTAATAAAACAAAATAGCCAATAATGGCTAATAAAAATTTTAATTTAATTTTTTAGAATTCATAGTTATTTTTTTAATTTTTATCTACATATTTATTTATAAAATTAAATAGTTTTGTGTTTATTGCTCTAAAACATAAGAACAACTAGTTTTGAACAAGAATGGTGACCTCGGTGTTGTCTATTTTGTTTTATATCTTCCGGACCAAAAGATTAGTTTATTTAAACAAACGACTAAGTCTGGAAGATACAAAATACAGTTTGAAATTATTGTGGTCGCTATGCCTATGTTTTGAGAAGAATCGTTAAAAGAATCGGTTCAAGTGCCCCTTCTTTTTTAATCGTTATAATATAGTTCTGTCAAATGCCGAGCTGCTGACATGCTTTTTTATTCTATACTTATATTTAAACCTTCGTGAAACAAAAGCTATACAGTGTACACTATCCACACCACGCAATGCACATACAAATTACGTATGGACGCGCGAGTACCGCATCATACGCGTCTTTTAGTTTCACCTGACAGCATTCGAATCATGCTGACGCGTAATCGCTGCGTGAGAATGGCACTTAAATCGGCCGTGAGGTTGACCTGTTAAATGATTTGTCAGAGCCTCTAATCTTGTTGACTTGGTCCCACATGGCTTTGCTTCCACACTTACTGTTAGCGAAGGCTTTTGAGTTGAAGTTGATGATGAGTGTGTTGATGTATTTGGTGATCTCTGCGGCTTTGAGGATGGATCCTGATCTCATGAATTCATTTTTTTGGCAAAGTAGATATTTGATGAATGGGCTGATGAATGGAGGGTTTGATGAACTGATCGTAATGTTTGATGTGGGGTAGTACGTGTTGTAAGTTGAGTTGATGATTTTATAAAGTTTATCAAAACAGTGTTGCAAAAAATTGTCAATTGTCAGTTATGAACGTATTATCGTTTATATTGTTTTCATTATTATCATTTGCACCATTGTTAATATTATTATTAATGTTACAAGTATTTTTACTATTAGTAGGACTATTATTATCATTGTTAATTTTAATATTATCAAAATTAATTGTATTATTATTAAAAATTGCTGGCAGAATATTGGTGGTGGTGGTGATGTTGAAGTCGAAGATATTATTGAAGTCGATGTTGTTGAGATGTTGAAGGCAGACACTACTCTGTGAAGGATGACGACGGCAAAATGAGATGACTTTTTTAGTGGTGTTTTTTCTCGATGTTGAGTTAGTTGGTGGAGGTGGAGGAGCAGCAACCACCCCAAGTGATGCGTTGAAACGTGTGACCTATAAGTGTGAGTGATGTCCAGGTTTACATTAATCCCATATATTCTGTCAAGGTTGTGACCTTGGTTGGTGGGACCCAAAAATATAAGGTGTAGACCTGTTTAAAGGATGGAATGATGGTTGAGTTTACAGAGTTTGTTGATAGGTTACTGGGTTTTTCAACATAGTAATCTTTGTAATGATTGTTTTAATTTTTTGAAAAAAAAAATATCAGAAATGTTTCCTTTTATACTGACAAATTAATCATAAAAACCCGATCTTTAACACTTTGTTGTAGTTGAAATGTGGTGATATTCAACAAGAAACACAAGGATTTCACGAATGTAAGTTGTTGTTGACCGAGATCTCTTCTCTCTGCAATCCTTCCAGTAGCTGTTAGATTTTCCATTCCTTCCTTCTGCGTGATGTTACCAAAAAACTCTAACTGTCACCGTCAGATTATTTGTAATGTAATTATATCGAAATTAAACTAATTGAAAAATGTCGACACAGAAAAATCTTTTTTGATGTGTTTTGTGCAAATCATAATCACCACTGATATGGAAATGAAGTTGAAAAATAATTAGTTTTATTGATATATATTTGTGTAAGAAGCATAAAAGAAATCGGCGTTTGAGTGCATGTACAGTACATATTCGTGTGCTTCATATTTTAAAATTGTTATTAAATTGCTATTTTAATATTTCACATTTAGTTGCGCCAAAAGTTGAACTAATACGCGTCCCCCGCACACTGACGCGGGGCACGGGAGTCGAAATTCGGGACTGTTGCACTTTGTTCGGGACGTTTGGCAACTATGCTAGTTGTTAACTAGTTAGAAATCGAGTAGTTATTTACTATTTTCTAACTATTACTAGTGCACTAACTACACAACACTGCTCCATTGCAACAGTTTTAAATTTTTGAATTCTAATTAAAAAAAATTTCAATTCATCAATTAAACCTTTACTGAGGATAAACTTAGTTACGGCTCTAGTTTCTGGTTCGGAGTTGGCTTTCGGACCAGCATATGATTCTGAGCATGGATCGGCACTTGCGCCAACAGCTAACATTTCAGTTTTTCAAAAAATCAAATCAATTAACAATTATTTATGCATTTCACATTGCAAATATTATTAAATTTTATTTTATGATAAAAATATTTATGCAAAATAAATGGTTTAAAAATAAACATGTATCAGAGGTAATTTAAGGCTGCAGCCCACCACAATAAAAAAAATTATGTTATAATTAAGTTAGGGTTATGTGTAAAATATGTCAAACCGTTATAGCGTCCATTTTCACAACAGCAAAATTTAAAAAAAATGCTGAGGATAACTGGAAATTTTAAATAAAATGTCTGAAATGGACCAAAAATATTAATTTTTGTAAATCTCCACAGAAATTTCTAGTTACACCAGTGACGTAAAGATGCTTTTAGGCATACGTACATGATCATTTTCTATAATAGGAATCATATGAACTACAAAACGGAACAAATCATTTATAAAAATCTCAAACCTACTAACCCTTCCGACAAAATAAAACTACGAATTTATTATTGGAATGCCAAAATATAAAACCTTGTCGTGAACAACAACTGCACTCCTCAACATGGTTCGGCTTTAAAACGTAGCCATCTGATATGTGAATTTACGGCTGTGCATGTCAGAATGTTTCATATATCGTATTAACTACATCAGCTAACCAGGCGACTGACCATGCACAAAAGGTGAGGTTCTATAAAAACACACCTAGAACACATACATAATAAACTAAATCAAAAATCCTGGACAACAACACCAAAATAATATACTGCAATCCCAGCTATTCTAATCTGAAATTAGCCGAAACCATTCTCATCGACATAAAACAACCCCTGATAAACAAACGACAAAAAATTTTAACAATACTCCAGGCAAAAAGAACGAACAGTAATAAATCATACAAATAACACCAACAGTACCGTTGAAAACACTGAATAAAGTAACATCGACCAAAGTGCTACCAAAGAGCAAGTAAATGGTACCAATAAAATTAGCACAATAAAACATAACACCAAAGCAATAAAGCATGGCATTGGAGCAATAAAACATAACATCAAAGCAAATATATTTCCTATATAAACTGCAACAAGTGCTGAAGATGATTGAAAAATCGAAAAAGGTCCTATACACACGAAAATGAATTGGAAAACTGTAAATTATTTTAACTTTAAGAAAACAAATAATGACGAAAAGAAAATGGTTTGAAATATTAAGAAATGTAATAAAAAAATATCCAACGCGAGAAATTCGGTAGATTAATAAATTACTACATGCGTCATGCGTGTATATATATATATATATATATATATATATATATATTTCAAAAATTCAACACTACTTTCAACATTGTTCAACTGTTTAAAAAGTTTTTTTAACCTTTTTTTTAAAAAGTTGAACAATGTTGAAAGTAGTGTTGAATTTTTGAAATGTTGCGTTAACAACAGTCTGTTACCAAAAATATATATATATATATACACACACACACACAATATTTTATACTAGTGATTACACCACATTCATCACACACGTATTGTTTATTTCCTATTCTTCCAACTTTCCAGTTTATTTTCATTTATCTTACCTTTTATTAATTAGTAACTTTTATTTAATTTCATGTTTTAGTATTAAATTTATCTTTTAGGTTACATCCTTCGCAAGGTACCGTTTAATTCTCATTTATTTTAATTAAATTTCTTATATTTCATTGGTTTTAGGCTCTGATGATGGCTACCTAGCCGAAACAACGTTGTCAGCTTCTAATATGTCACAATTTCACAATAAATATGAATGTCAAAAACTACGCTGTGTTGAGTCCATAATAAAAAAGTTGATAAATGCAAAATGGGCAAATAAATTTAACAAAATATTTATTAATGAAAACCTCGTTCCTAAATATATATATATATATATATATATATATATATATATATATTGGTAATAGACCATAATTTTTACAATATTCTATAAATTCTACCGAATGTTTGGCGTTAATATGTTTGTTTTCAAACCAAACAGCACAGAACAGCAACTACACGCATCTTAAAATTGCAGAAGCAGTCCTAATTGACATCAATAAACCAAAAATACACCAAATGGTGTGTTAATTGACATCAATAAACCAAAAATAAATATACAACAAAAAATGACAACCTCACTTCCAACCCGGCGCTTAACCAACAACGAAAACAAAGAAGTAATAAAAACTAGCATTGTAAATAGTGACAAAGAAGAATATGATGCTATCGATGAAGAAAAGGAGACCAAAGAAAATGACCAGCCAATAAAGAAACCTGACACCTAATTTCCATCTAAGTTCACTTTGACAAAGTCAATCTCAATCTAAATTCATTTTGACAAAGTCAATATTTCCCTATATAAACAGCACAAAGCACTGATGATGATTCATTCGGAATCGAAATATGGCCTTATTTGCAGCATGAATTTGGAAAAAAGTTTATTTTGAATTTTAATAAACTAAACGTTCACCAAAAAACTTTAGTGAGAAAAATTGAAAAAACGAACTAATCAAATCAAATCAAATTTTATTCAATCAATCCAAATTAATAATAATTAGGTAATGATTAGGAGACCAAAGCTAAAAGAAAACAAAATTCTTGTGTCGCAGGCCACCGTTCACAAATTGTTCATTCTAACCCAATTTTTAAGTAAATTTATAATTCATGACAAAATTAACATAATGCACAACTACAAACATATTAACGCCAAACATTCGGTAGAATTTATAGAATATTGTAAATATATATATATATATATATATATATATATATATATATATATATATATATATATATGTATATATTATATGTATATATATAAATACTGGTAGAAGACCGAATTCTTGACAACATATAATCAATTCCATCGATTTATTAGTGTTTATCAACTTATAATTGAATTTTTCAATTTGTCTAAGTAAATTTTTATCAACAAAATTAAGACTTTTTAAAATTGAAACTTTATTTTTATTAACAAACATAAAAATATAATATATATATATAACAAACATAAAAATTTAATATATATATATTATATTCTACTATATATATATATATATACTTCAAAAATTCAACACAACTTTCAACATTGTTCAACTTTTTTATATTTCTTTTTGAAATGTTGCGTTAACAACAGTCTGTTACCAAATATATATATATATATATATATATATATATATGTATATATATGTATATATATTATATCGTTATATATTATATATATTTCGTATGGAACGGCCTTCCGTCAGCCCTCACAATACCTGGAATGAACATTGCTGAATTTAAAAGACAATTAAAGACATACCTTTTTTCATTATAGTTCATTTCTTTTAATTCTTGCTATTTTGATATGAATATTAGTTATAATTTGATAGCGTTTTTGAAAACTGCTATTACGAACGCTATATTAAGTTTTTTCTTAATAAAAATAATAATAATATTAATATAAATAATTACATATATTGAATTAAGACTGTCAGAAATGCAGAAATTATTGATGAAAATCACCGCATGTTCGGCGTTAGTTAACTTCCAATTTAACTTTTCAATTTTTCTGCGAGGTTTTTTTTAGCGCGCATGTGGAATGAATGGCGCAAGTGTGTATGTTGGCGCGCATATTGTATGAAGTGGTCAGGTGGGCAGTCTGGTCGAATGTCGTATGAATTGGTTTTGTATGCAGGTTGGTTGAATGTTGGTATGGCGCATATATGGTGAGTATGGTTGAGAATGAATGTTTCTCAGTTTGTTTAGAATTTGTTTAGTATATAAACCTTTTGGAAAAAGAAAAGTTAGTGTTTTAGGTTGGTGTTTTGGAATAGCGTTGTGAATTGGTCTTTGGTTTTATCGTGGTTGTATTGGTCGGACGGTTTCTCTGTCGTGTTTCTTGTTTTGGGATTTCATTTGTTACGGCTGGTAAAAATATTTTTCGTTTATTTAGAACATTTATTTAGTTGACTTTAGGAACATTTGCTTTAAAGAATATTATTTTGTTTGCTTTAAAGAATATTATTTTGTTTGCTTTAAAGAATATTATTTTGTTTCTTTTATTTTTGGTTCATTAATAGAATTATTTCGGTTAGGCTTGGTTTGTCACTTTTAAAAACTAAAACATGTTTGAAGACTTGCTAGCGGTTAATAGGGCCGGATTAACCGACCAGCAAGCAGGACGCGATAATACTTCCGTCCGGCCCGTATTTTCCGACCCGGAAATAAAAAGTTGTGAAAAGGCGAGTCCCGGCCAGAAGCAAGACTGCCTAGGCTGGCGGCGGCGGCTGTTAATATTTGAGCAAAGGAAAAATTTCGCCGCGCGGCAAAAGTTCACAATTGGCGCCCAACGTGGGGCCTCTTCTTCAAAAGTTTTAGGTGACAGGTACAGCAGGAGTCAAGGTGATTACCCTCGTCAATTTTTAGGTGACGAGTATATCACAGATAAAATTAAAATTGTTTCTCTCAAACTTTTAGGTGACAGGTATGGCAGTGACCGCAGAGAAATTCCTAATTCCAAATTTTTAGGTGACAGGCACGACAGGAGCCGTAACGAAACCTTCCCAAATTTTTTAGGTGACAGGGCTGGTTCTACCGAAAATATTTTAGATTTTAAGTATCAGGTAGGTCAAGAGTCAGTACCGGAGGCAGTTGTTTGTAAAACTTCTCCAGGATTTTCAGGTAATGGGTTTGACGACGCACAGATAATTTTCAGTTTTAAGTTTGTGGAATTCGCGCCAGAACAAGTTTTACCAGTTTATAAGCCTACGCCAGCACAAAAGCTCTCTGTTATTCGTAAACGTAATAATGTTTCAAATTCTAGGAATAGGTGCAGAATGGTTCAAGAGGATGAAGAAGTCGAACACAGTCCTTCGTTTGACAACCACGGGAAATCACTGCATTGTCAGCCGAGTGTAAATACCAAACATCACTGGTTGGTCCGACATCACGAGCTGTTAAAACCAGACAAGTTTGATTATCAAGAATTAGTAACAAAGTTAGAAAACCGTTATGGAGCG